CTTTCATGATACGTTTAAGACACAAGAATATTTATTATGAGTCACATATGTTGAACTTTTTGGAGAACAGGCGTTCTGTAGAGCTGTGATTGCGACAAACAAGTATAAAAACAGCACAACAAGAACAATATATATACAAACAAAATGAGAAACTTGAATACTTATTAGGTCATAGGTAAACACGTTTAACTACCAAACATCACTAAAACTCAGTCCATACCAAACTAACTCTGAATACTATCACATGACAAGTCATCCTCAATATCCAGGGGTTACGCTCACTTTCGCTCTCTGCACCCCTGGAATATGTCATAGCAAAACAGAAGGCTCAGTGTTCACTGCCTTGCGGATGGGACGAGAAGGCTAGTTTGATCCTTTGATGTACAAAATGTACAAAAGAATCTCGCGGTCACGTAACGGTAAAAATTGACAGGCTTTGAAGTCAGGCGTCGCTCCTCTGTAATTTTCAAAGGATAAGTATCAGTCTAGTGATTGGTCAGTTTCTTTTACCCGAAACCAATCAAATAGCTAGCCGCGTGCCTTCAATTTTGTTATGACATATTCCAGGGGTGCAGAGAGCGAAAGTGAGCGTAACCCCTGGATATCCAGGATGACTATCACATGACAAGTATACATCAAAGACAACATGTAATATATAATTCACATACTGTAGATGTCCATATTTTAGCGGTATTCTTATTGTAACGTTTTTCGCAGTTTGAATATTGCGCTAAACTATGAATACGCTCGTTAAAGTTTCTGTACATAGTTTCCTGTAGCATATACTGTGAGTGTTCCAATTCATCTGTGCGTTTAACTGTCAATATCCGATATTACGCTAAGTTTTGAGCACGTACAAATGAGTTAATTAACAGTACGTATAATACAAACTTATCTCAATTGATTAGCATCACTCGTCAAAAGTTATATACTTAAACGTTGAATGATGTGGAACAGCCAAACAGAAACTTGGATAAGGTACGGTAAACCATTTTTATGCAAATGATGAAGTACATACTGTAAAATGCTGTCAAACTTTCGCCCTTCAATCATAACATTAACTTTTGCCCTTCAACCATAACATCAATTTTCGCCCTTCAATCATAACATCAACTTTCACCACGTCATATTTTCGCCCTTCAACCATAACATCAACTTTCGCCCTTCAACCATAACATCAACTTTCGCCGAGTGTTAATTTTGCCCCCAAATTAAACCACTATGTATATTATGCTGTCTGAATATATTTTCTGTTATGATAAATTCACCCTCGTTACTATTGGCAATAAAGACGAAGGTTAAACTGACATAGTCCGCCGTCCTACGTGTGCAGCAGTCTGCAGAAGGTCATTTGGGTGTCTATGCCATACCTGGGTGTCTCCAAACAAGGAAACATGCTTACAATACCCTGTCCTGTTGACCAATGTCTTACAGCGGTAGGTATATGTACACAATACGGTAATCTGTATCAACTAGGCTGTGCGTTGCTCGCACCTGTTATTTACCTTAGCATACAGGTACAGGAGATTTAGAGACAAAAATAAAATGATTACTGGGTTACAGTACAACAATTTTATTGGTTGGCTTCTAAAATTCTTATTTCGATTTTTAATCATGTCCGGAAAAACTTTCAGAAAGTTTAACACGCAGATACCTCACTCGCATTTAGCAGCAGTACGTTTTACTCGCAAAGTATTTTACTTGTATTTATACTATAGGTATCTTAGTAGGAACAATGTATATATGATCCTGTGAGCTTTGTCATACATCGATGGGTTTTTTAAATTCATTTTCTCAAGGTGAGTGGTGAAGCACTGATTTACTTATAGCATATATTTTCATAACGTCATATTTAATATAACTAATTATTGCTCTTTAAGTATGTTATGTTAAGATTATTTTGAGGTTGTGTATGCTTCATTCAGTACTGTTGTGGATTTAATTGACTGAAATATCTCATTTTATAGATGACATGTACTATTGTTAAATGATGACACGGTGTTTCATTGACGAAGACATTTTATCTGAAAGATTACATGGATTTAATTGACAGAAACATTATGATTGAATGGTGACGTGTATTTAATTGACGAACAAGTCTTATTTGAATGATGGCGTGGATTAAATTGACGAAAATATTTTATTAGAATGATGACGTTCGATTATTTGGTGATGACGACTTATTGTAATGGTAACGTACGTATAGACTGATTTAACAAATTACCTTATTTGTCTATTGTACTGATGTTAAAAATAGGTTTCGTTTAAGACCATGATTTCAAAATAAAAGGTGAAATCCAGTGGTCCTTAAGGGTAAGCGTTTACCTGCCCTCTTGTACTTTATGTAAAATCTAGGAAAAAGTATGTAGATCACTAACGATCTATGGCAGTGAAAACAATTTGGATCACGTAGCCCTGCCAAAACTGTACTCTGTAACTTTTTACCTTTCCGAAAATAACTTTCACGTGTCATTACCGAAAAGAAACTAAATAAATGAAAACATTAACATAAAAAAGTCAATAACATTATTACAACGTGGCCAGACTGGGTTAGAAAACTTGACTTGCGATCACAATACTGTCGTTTTAACTAAATGAGCTACACGATCAACAATAGTTTCCTTGTATACAGCCCAACTACAGTAGCATTCAAAACAAAATTAAGGAGATATTTATATATATATGAAAAAAGTGCAATGAGATTCACTTTTGTTTCGCCTGCAGTTGAACAGCAATCCTAAGTCAACTTACGAAAATAAAATAAAAAATCAAATGTACAAAAATTCTGTGTTACCTACTGTCCCATTACACATTGATCTATTGCGTTATACCATCTGTATTATTTATTGGTCGTGAATCACGACCGTGCTGATATTGTCAATAGCATGGTTAGCTTGAACAGAGTTTGAGCGCAAATGTTTGGAGTTAAATGTTTTCACAATTTTTGTAAATTATTTATTATAACAGCGATGAATGTCAATACGTGCAATTTAAAACATATCTTTCACTTATTATTGTCATAATATGTCAGATTTTTTTTCTCTCAATTCACCTGACAAAATAACTATACAATCTATCTGCTGAGGAAGGAAAAACTAAACTGATTACGATGACGGTGATCGGTGTCTGGGATACAGTATTATCAATCAAAGGTTCGAGTCAATTAACTGATTTACTGAGACGGTCGCTCTTTTAAAAACATTCAGACTTTATCTAGAATAAATCCCTTACAAAAAATCGCTCATAAAATACCTAATAGGCTATTTACCTTCTAAGGATAAATAACTTTAAATCTACAAAATATCCAGGATACAATCATGTTGACTTTTTCTTATTAAAAAATGCGATAAAAATTTAACAGTTTTTTTGCTGGTAATTGGTTTTTGAATTGAAAATCGGTTTTCATTTCATAAAAAGCTTTACAAGTAATGCATAAAGAGGAAATTGTGTGATTAAACGGCTTATAAATTAAACAGATAAGATTGTTACCGTCACTTAGTTGTTAAAAAAAAAAGGAAATGTTTGAATAAATATATCTCCATATCTATCAATAATGCAACGCCTGCCGACTAATGTAAACTTGTGACATGATCACATATATATTCGTGGAGGTCGTGTCATTAATAATGTTATAGGAGACAAGTCGTCGGGTTAAATCTCTGTTAAGTAACTCTCATTTAGATAAACTATTTACTGGTATTGTAGATATAACATGAATGTGTTGGAATGTTATTCTGTATTTAGGATAAAGGCAATATTGTGAGGTGCTAGCACAGACGTAAGAATCTCAAGAAATCCTTTCGGGAGTCATGAGGTAAGATTTTTCGATGGACAATTGTGATGTGCTAGCACGGACGTAAGAATCTCAAGAAATCCTTTCGGGAGTCATGAGGTAAGATTTTTCGATGAACATAGATGTAAATTTGTCTTTGTAATATCATAACCGTACTCATATAACAATAGCACACAAGGTTGGGTCTCGTTGATCCAGACATCACTATAACCCACTTAATTCACTGTCCAGACACCATGGATCCGCTTGTCCAACTGTCCAGCATCATCATCCGTCATCGCTGTATTCGGTCGAAATGACTGTCTTGTTGATACTTGACCTTATTTTTATAAGTATCTCCATGGGTACTTATGTAAAGAAATACATATATACGTACCATCATGAAATACATTATTTCAAAAAGTAAATGTCTGTTATTGCGTTTATTTTTGTCACTTTCAAGTAAATGTGATACAGTGTATTTACTGAATTTAAACATTTCTTTCAAACATCAGTTAAAAATATATTTTTTTAAATCAAATTTTCATATTCATGATTTCGTAAATATGATGAATGGGAAGATGGGGATAATCTTATATAAATGTCTAATTGTATGAGATATCTAGGGTTGTTTAACTACCATGCTAAAAACGTACATGTTACTGGGTACCTTGAGTGTTACATAAACAAAACTCCATTCAAATTATTTATAGAACACATGTGTTCGAAATTGCCAAAAAGAAAACAATGTAGTAATGGACTCTTCCAATCTGTTCGTTGCAAGGAAATGGAGGACAGCTTTAAGCTTCTCTGCTGGAGATATGATTCACAAACCATTTATCCAAAATTTAATTCCACTGTTACGTTTAATAGACACCAGGAAACTAATATAAGTACTTTATGTGACTGTGATAGAAAAGGCGGACTTAATCTACCCCGGTAAGTATGTCTGCTCTATACTGTCGCTCCGTGCTATGTATTAGTACAACTACACTAGAACCGGTAACGTTAAGCTATTACCAGTATGGATCCTTAATTAGTAGATCTACCTTACATTGTTTTATTCGCTATGCTAGTACTTGATCTTATGATGTGTTTGTTCTCCAAGTCGTGGCTGTCCAGACAAGCATGATTTTTTCTAAACGTTCTGTTTGTTGTAGATGGTGTCCATCCAGCTCAGCGTGAAGTGATATATCTCACACTTTCACATGGTGTTAAGATGTCAACGCCTATACTCTAGTGGGTGTAGAAACAATGAATAATGCGTTTTAATACTCGCTAAGGTAACCCTGCTAAAGTACTCGAGATTTAGAATGTCAGCATGTTACTCCAAGCAACGATAAATGATAGTGATATGTTATCAAGTTAAGATCCCCTATAAAAACTAAATATAACGTTTCATACCCGAACAAAATAAGGACATTTGCCTGTATAACTGTATGCTACCTCACGGTTACCTGGAATCCTGCCGTTCGGAAACCTCGCTTTCTGGACACATAAAGTAATCAAGGCCTCATTTTGTTGTATCTTGATTCATGGACTGAACAACATGTTCATTTGATATGAATACAATTATTGAAACTTAAGAAACCGATATTTTATAAAAATTAAATCGGCGACATTCAAATGAATATTGATATCGAAATTAAAGAATGCATTAAAAAGGTCATCCTCAAATAAATAACATTTAAATACTCATGCATCGGTTTTATCAGAAACATGTTAAAATATTTGTGAGGTTTCATTTAATTAATGAATAATCTTATGAATATTTATACTTTTAAGAAGCTCACCCTCGATGTTTAAATACTGACCAATAAGGTTTCACTGCAAATGTTAATATATATGTACTTAGCAATTCAAACTTTGATATAGTATTGTTTAGTCAGTTGTAATGGAGCATTTATATACATATAAAAACGTAAAATATAAACGTGTATTATCATATTGAAATATTTACGAGAAATGCAACCAATGTAATATTGGTTATTCATAAACATATATACTACTATGACACTTTAAAAATGGAATCCCTTTCGATCATGGCAGTGATACCTAAAGTAAATAAATCATACGTTTTTTGTAATTTCGATCCAATTTGATACACAAGTGTTTACATAGAGATTAGCATTACAGTTAAACGTTTGTATGACCACGTTAATCCACATCATGCTTGATCTTTAATTGGCTTCCAAAACTTAACGTTATATTATTGGTCCATATAGTACGTTACTAGCTGGCATTAAAGGTTTGGATATGATAATCCTGTGTAACGCTATTTTACGACACACGAAACAACATTATGTAAGATACAAGTAATACGTGCCAAGTATGACTTTTTTTCCTCTTTAAACAAAAATTGTTTCTAATGTTCAAATGTACAAAATGGTTTAAATTCATTTAGGTTTATTCAAATAAAGCGTAAATTCTAAAAACTCACGAACCTCTCCAAGGAAGGTTAATCCCTCCGGTGACCTATAGATCTTTGTAATCCTTACCAGCTTATCGATACCCAAATTTATATGTAAATTATAGACGATATCTTGGATTAGTAGTGTTGTTCTCAGGTCACGAAACGAAATCTATTTTATAGGTGGACCCAAAGAAACATGGACCTGGGCTAGAACCGGATCTTATATGTGAAATGATGTTCAGCGATGATTTTACCATCCTGCAAAGGAACTTCCGAGATCAAATAAAGAATGGAGCTATGAAATGAAAGGATACAAGGCTCGCGGTAATCTGTCGTGCCTCGGAGCTTCAACGCGAACAACCTACCTAGGATATTTGGGTAATTTCTGTAAGTTGTTGTTATGAATACAATTAGAATCGTCATGGATTCCTAGAGATCGACGTCAGGTTAAAACAAAACATGTGTTCATTTCAGAAGTGACAGTATCATCTTCAAAGATCGATCTATTTCATCATGTCTCAAATTCTAGCGCAATCACCAATTGCGCATGGTCGCTTGTTACAACCGCTTCCGGCAGTACGAGAACAATCCAAACTTTCGGATGTTCCGTCTTTGAAAAAAATAAGCAACAGAAAGAAATCTAGAACACGACGAGATTCCATGATTTCTTTGCTCAGACAGGATTTGGGAGATATAGAATCTCTTCCGGCCGTTCGGAAGTATCGATACTCATTAGACAGTGCAATGGACGACAACCGATCCGAGGTATTCTCGTCTTTTTCTAACCTAAGTACAAGTCGTGTCCATCGCAGAAGAAGTAGTCTGTTTGACAAACCTGTCAGACGTCGGCAGTTATCGACCAACTCTGACAGCTCGGGTGAAATTCAAGTGACGGAATACGAAATGAAGAAGATTGCAATGCTCCAATCCCTCAATGCAATGGGCGGGAAACTTCCGAACCGGAACATGAACCGCCAAATGTCTGTTAGTGAGGTAGCAATGTACGAGGATCTTGCCCTAAAGAAGAAGACGAGTCTAACGACGAGGATACTAGGGATAACGACGAACAGATGTAAAAGACCGCGTCGCCAAAGTCAGTCGAAAGATCGGGCGTCGCTATCGACACCAGTCAAAACCCCCGAACCAAGTCACGAGAGCAAGGATAAAATGAAACAAATTGTCGACATAATGAGGAAGAAATCAAGTTCCTCACCAGTACCGGTTCCGGGTCAAACAAAACGTCCATCTTTAGGGGGATCGGAACCAGGCACAGAGGTTTTAAATAGTTTTCGTCGGAAACTGATTCGAAAAAGGAAGGTAAAAACTCTTTTTTTTCTAGAATGCATGTTTATTTATCATTTTCCACAACGACTTTCTCCTTTTGCAGACGTTCGTTGATTTTAAAGTGCGTTTTGATGATCAACTATGTAACATATCCTTGCAAACCCTCGTCCATTTTATTTGTCTTCATCGCCTAGTACCAGCTAGAATTTGAATAAGTCGCGAAGACAAATTTAACACACGACAACTAAACATGAATGTTCGTTGATAAACTTAATTATATTATATATGTCATGAACAGTTGTTTTTTTCAAAATTCGTTTCCAATAGAATGAAATGATTGTTTTTGAAATGAGCCTTGCTGTACTTTTAAATCAAATATAAAGTGTTCTTCATAATATGTAAACATGCTTAAATCAATCAAAAGTTTTACGTTATTATCGAAAATATAGACAGTGTGTTATCGCTGTATTTTGGTTCATACAATCTTTTCTTTTGTTTTTGTCTCTCCTCTGTTGGGTCCTATGATACGTTTTTGATCATGTATTTTGCCCTTATATTTTAAAAATGTGGAATATTTCCACTATGTCACTTATTCATAAATCAATAATGAAAGTAGATAGTGTCATCTTTGTTATAACAAAATGTTTCTCAATACCATTAACAGAATAAAACGTCTATGCAATTTGAAAAGAATAATTGATTAAAAGCTACCCAACGTAGAAACATTTCTGCCATTTGTATTCATCGTAGTTAAGATTCAACTCTGTTGATTTTCATGAGTATGTGTATGCTATATATAACACCCCTCTGCTAATGTTTAGTATGCAACACAGAAACTCTTAACATATATACGTAACGTATTGCTTATATAATGTATAGGTAAGACTGTTATTTTCTATACACCAGGTGGACGTCACCTTACGATTTTCTTTATCAGTTTCATGTGTTTGTTTTGTATTAAGTATGTTGATTTATGAACAATAGGAATTGTGTACGTGTTTATATCTGATATAATCAATTCGAGACATTCAGCCGTACATAAATACTGGTGTAAGATACTGGTCTTGGCTGCATAAACAGTAATGATTCAATGTTTGCCAATCGACACAAATGATCTGTGTCTGTATATTAAGACGACTGACATCTTCTTTTAATGCTTATGTCTATTAGCCGAGAGGATTCCCTGACACTTTTAATGCTTATGTCTATTAGCCGAAACACTGACACTTTTAATGCTTATGTCTATTAGCCGAGAGGATTCCCTGACACATTTAATGCTTATGTCTATTAGCCGAAACACTGACACTTTTAATGCTTATGTCTATTAGCCGAAAGGATTCCCTGACACTTTTAATCGACGACGTATAAAAACTGAAGTTTTCTCAAGTTTTGTCTCCGTTGATGAAACTTCATTGTAAAGTTTTAAAGTGTCCAGTCCGCATCCTGTTGTCCCAGTTTATCATCGTGACTCTGATGTGTCATGCTTTTGATGTCTACACTGTGCATCAAATACATGTAGAGATATGGGACAAGTGATTGTGTGAACTGTATCTACATCAAGTATATGTATTATCATGGTGTTAATTTACTGCATCGCTTGCATAACGAAATTAACACGGAGACCCTTCTTCGCAATTTTGGACAACACTTTCCCCGTTGTGTTTTGGAGTTTCATACTTGCCGAAGACACTTTGTTACAAATTTGAAACAATGTATGATTTATTATATCAATGTATATTATACCAGAAACTAATTCACTTAAATTGCGATAAAACAAAACAAAAAAAACAATTATTTCAAACTGTGTGCTTCATTTCGTTTATATATCACCGACCTTAGGGATGAGTGTCACAAAAAGTGGTCAGATATCAAATAGATCTTATCGTATTTAATTATCGAAATTGTAGGGCACGTTTTCATGATTATAATTTCCTAAGCACATACAATCAAACTAATGGCGTTTCGCCTACTGAATTAACAATCAGTGTAGGGGTAGAATATATGTACTAATATGTTTGGCAATGTTACATCGAAAAACACTCTTTGAAAGCATAGCAAATATGAGACCCTTTATATATGTTATTTGCTGTATACTAATTATACTGACATCATATAGATAAAGTTTTGCTAACTACACCAGAAGCTCATTACAATGCATGTATAAGTATTAGAGAAAGGTGTGTTTAGCTGCCACCGGCTTTTATTATCGGACGGTTGTACATATAAATATGTATTTGTATTACTGAGTATCAAACTATTAAAATATCACATTTCTTGTTACAAACATGAATATGTAAGCCTCACAGAACAAAAGACCCATTTTCAAAATGATAAATGGTTAGTTTGATATATACATAATGTATTACTTGATTGGTACCGTTACATGCCCATATACAACAGCAGTTGTCTTGGTTTCATATGCAAATAAATATATATATATTTTTTTTACCAAAACGCAGAGGTCCATTACAGCACAGGCATCTGCATCATGTGAATATGCAAATATATATAATAGTCGATCCCGGTCCCACAATTCAGTAGGTATGTAAATATATGTAAATATATGAAATAGTCGTCCCTGTCCCACATTTTGACAGGCATGTAAATCTATGAAAATATACGAAATAGTATTGCCTACCCTCCTATATTGATAATACATTATGGAAGTCTATTTAATATTTTTACATATTGACATACCAGACACGGATGCCTGTGAATACAGTAACCCAGACACAGTTGTCTGAGTTTTAAGGCAGATATACACTACGTTACCAGAACACCAGAGTCACTTATAAAATGTTTGACATTTTGCTTCAGACTTCGGTTGTTCTAGTAATTTGTATAGCCTACTACTGTTATGGCGTCAGTGTTCTAGCAAATTTGTACATATTTGCCAATGAAATCAGACAATTGTGATACACTATAATAGCTAGGTCAGGACAGCAATTACGTGGCACTTGCTAGAATAAAAAGCGATTACAATGTTTTTGACACAGACCTTAATCATGTAATCTACCCTGAGCCCCACATACAGGTTGTATTTGGAGGATTATACGACTTAGACATTTACGTATGGTCGATATCACAAATACAGGTGATATAATATATACACACAACGAGGGTAATACCATTAAAAGGTTAAGTATATCCTTTAGTATAGTAACTGATCAACTGTACTAGAAAGGTACGGGATCACAAAATTCACGTGGGTAGCAGTACATATGTACTGGAACACCTGTAATGTAACCGATTTCTGTAGAGTTCTGCATCAATGGTGCAAGAGGCAAACAGTTGGAAATCAAAATTGTCTAAATTTGATAGTATTAGGCTTATATCGTCATATTAATAAACTTGACCTCCTTAATTCAATACAGGTTTTGGAATAGGTATTAATTAATGCTATAAATAATATATTATTTTTGTTGTATTGAATGCATTAACGTCCTCGCATACCAAACGGTAAACAGGTGTATTCATTTTAACTGATTGGCTCTTAAATGTTTTACTAGAAGTGCAATATAAGTGATCAGCAACAGGACGAATATAACACCTTTAACTGCGTAAAATAACTTTTCGAACGTTTTTATGACCTCAAGTATGTATGTGTGGCTTGTTAGAATTTATTTGATGAACATCTCATCGTATAAAAAAGAAAAAAGAAAAAAGAAAAAAATGCCATTATAACTTAGATTAACGTCACGTCAGTAGTCACGACTTGAAAAAAAACCATGTTATATATGTTACCTTGACGTATGGTTTTTTATGACACTTACAATGATTTAAAGGCGCGGTAGTCTAGTGGTAGGACGCCGGGCTCGTGACCCAAGGGTTGCGGGTTAAAGACATGGCACGGCACTGTGTTGTATCCTTGAACAAGGTACTTTACCCTGCTTGTTCAAGTCTACTCAGCTGTACATGAGTTCGTTATTGGACAGTGCTAGAATTGTAGAATGCTACCTGTGAGCGCCTAAATGGCAGCACCGGCTGTATGCTCATCAGGGAGTTGAGAACAATATTGGCTGGTTGCAAAGGCCCTATAACCACGGATAATGATTTGTGAACCGCTTTGAGACGACCTACGAACTAGGTCATGAAGAAATGTCACGACGCTAACCTTGACTTATGTACACAGCTGTATGATTTCAGTGTCACATGTTCATAGTGACCTTGATAATTGGTGACAGGAGTTATCATGACTCGTGCCACGTGCAGCACAGAAAACCTCAGAATGCGTATTTATAGGGATTCAATATATCGTCCGTTTGTCTGTATACATTCTTTTATATTTGTATACGCTATTATAATGTATATTTTCTCTTAAACTAAGTATTATGTTCCGGTGGCACTAAGTTGAAATTTATCTGGAACAAATTTTGAGATTCTTATATACTTTTGTATGGTATTTATCTGATGACAAGTTTGAAGTTTCTCTGGTCTTAAACTTAATTTGTTTTTCAAGTTTTACTGGCTCGAACATTGACGTTTCTCTGGTCTTATCTTTGAGATATTTCCGAATCCAAGTTTATGTTACCCTTTCGCTAAGTGTGAGGCTTCTCTGGTGCTAGTTTTTAGGTTAATTTCTCTGAACCTAAGTTTGATTTTAAAATAATGACAGTGAAGCGTTTTAGGGTCACACGAAAATCACAAGAAAAAAAGAAAAACAGACTAATAACTCACCTTATATATTATGCAAAGACTCTTTCATAAATAGAATCAGTGACTTTATTTTTGCTTCAATTATTTGTTTACTTATTCTTTCACTTACAGAGAAAGCCGTATCAGAGGTTTCGTAACCTTGCCAGGTTTTTGGTCGTATTACTGAGAGCGTGGAGAATCCATTCGCAATCGTAAGTACCTTGTATTGATTCCATGCTACACCAATAGTGCGGCAGCTTTCCTTACTTTCACTACACTTATTTCAACGTTCAATCTACCATGTACATTTTAGATAAGAGAAATTCGTTCTTGCTATAAAGCATTCAACACAACCTTAAACTTACCTGCGTTCTAAAACTATCATAGGACATAACTTAATGACAAGTATCTCCCATTTAGAACATTGCATTATACCCATATTTTTTTTGACACCCTTAGTTCCTTTTACTGTTTTTGATATATCCTCATTTCCTATGGATGATACATCCTTAGTTCCTTTTGCGGTTTTGATATATCCTCATATCCTTTTGGTGATACATCCTTAATTCCTTTGGCTGTTTTGATACATCCTTAATTCCTTTTGCTGTTTTGATATCTCCTCGTTTCCTATGGATGATACATCATTAGTTCCTTTTGCTGTTTTTGATATATCCTCATTTCCTATGGATGATACATCCTTAGTTCCTTTTGCTGTTTTGATATATCCTCATTTCCTATTAGTTATATATCCTTAGTTCCTTTTGCTGTTTATATATATATCCCCATTTCGTATTATTGTATTTGATATGTTCTCTTTTCCTTTTGATGTTTTTCCTAATGGCTATGAGCTTCCTGTTTGACCTTGTGTTGCAGAGTGGGTGAAATGCTTGGACAATTTGGAACGTTGGATGCAATGACAAATTCAGCAGGAGCCTCTAATCTGCTCTTTGACATCACAGACTACAAAGCGTCGAAACAGGTAAACAAAACATAGCACAATCAGTTTTGATTATTTCGAAATATTCCTATTATGAGTTCTTTTGTCATGTTCGAATGGCTATATCCCCAAAATAATCCTATTTGGAAAGAAAATGTTTGACATATTAACCTGTTTGTCGCTTTCGTTGAATTTAATGTAATTGTAAAATTTTAAAAACAATAATTATACTAGATATGTGTCTCAATTTATACATGAATATTATATGCTATTGTATTATAGCAATATTTATTTTTATTTATTCATTTTGCAACTAATTCCCAAATGCCAGAAGTAGCCTACTTACACACCTGGATTTGGAGAACAAAAATAACTGAACATCGCTTTTTTTTCATATATTGCTATCTAAACCTTTTCATACTTTGGAAAAATGTTAGTCTTTTCACCACCGCGCAAGGACTTTTAATTCTCTTAATGAATTTCGACCAACTAAACCCTTCTTCTCCAAAAATAGCATTTCTTGAAAGCAAGAGATCGGTTATGTAATATGGCAGTGGTAATAGAAGTTTTGACTCCTCGGGACACTCAAGAGAAACGCGTTCTGACCTGAGAGATTACGTAATTATGTAAATCTTCCAGATATGTAGGAATCTTCATAAAAACTGCTGAAATTTATATTTTTCTAACGTGAGTTTTCTTTCTTTACGTATCTGTTCTTTATACAGTGTAACATTCTTAATAACAAAACTTCAAAGTGTAGTGTGACTTTAATTATAGTCATTTGTCAAGAACATTGTAAAATTTGAACGGCTGTATCTATCAACTTGAGACGATTTAAGCATGTTGCCATTATGCTTTGATCTTTATTTGTTCTAATTACTAGGCAAGTGTGTCCAACGAAACGAGAAGAATACTAATGAAGCGACCAAAAGAAAGGACAGATGATGAGATTCACTACGTAAGTAGAGATAATTAAGGACACAAAATAAAATGCGTCTAACACTTGACACATTTCAAATAATTCAAACTATAAGTCCAAATTTAGGGGCCGCGGTGGCAAAGTGGAAAAACCGTCTGGCATTCTTCTACCACTAGCCCTCCACAACTGGGTCGTGGGTTCGAGACCTACGTGAGACAGTCGCCAGGTACTGGCCGTAGGTCGGTATTTTTTTCTCCGGTTTTTCTCCACCACAAAACCCAGCACGTCCTTAAGGATGTACACCTCTGAGAAGTCAAAATATTCCTGTATTAAACCTTTTTTCTTATATTGATTTTTGGAAAAAGGAGATAATGGCATAGTAGAAAATGCAAAAAAAAAATATACGTCGGTGTGTTCGTTTTTGTGCTATGATCGGTCAAAGATTTTAGGTGAATTTTCGGGTTTTGACCATTGGCAGAACAAATTCATACAATTTCTTCCAAGTGTGTTATCAGATAGGTATGAATGTTTGTAGAATTGATAAAAATATTATTTTCTTTGGAACTATGGAAGTAAAATGTCTTAAACTTATTCATTTTACTCAAAAATGCGATTTTAGTTACCCCTACCCCTTATTTTTTAATGAAAAAATGAACATTTTTCACCATTTTTTGCTGATTAAACGCTTGATATAAAAAAATCCTGTAATAAACTTTTTTTAGTATTCAATGAATCGAAAGAAAATGAGTTTCTCTTTCTAAAACAGCCACAAAAATGGGGGGTCGGTGTGCTTCTTTTTTTGTCCCATTATTATTTGTGTTATTTTTCACCTTTTTCGGGGTCAAAAAACAAAACTGCTTCAGTTACCCTAATATGTAAAAAAAAATATCAATAATATATAACTTTCCACTTTTTTGCATATTATTTTGATCATATTGAACATTATAAAGTTGTACAGCAAAATTGAACCTGCTACAATTAAAAATGGTGACACAATGACAATTTAAGTGATCAATCTAGTGTCAAAAAAGGGGAATTTTGGCCCTTTGTGAAGCGCAAGAAATTCACATAAATACACTTTTTCAAAATGGCCGCCAAATTGGTCATTTTTTAAAAATTCTTGTTAAAAATGTTCTACACACAACAGACATATAGTTTTTTTTACATGTTTTTTAGATGTGTGTTTGCTATTATACTTATCATAATTTGTTAAATATTACAAAAACCCGTTACACCAGATCAAAACGAGACTTGAACGTGACTGAAACCTCAGAAGAGTACATCCTTAAATGACCACAGTTGTTATTAGGACGTAAAACTCAAATAAACCAAACCAAAATAACCCAAATTGAACATTATTTTATATACCAAACCCTATTATAATTGCAATGAATCATTTTTTGTACACAATGATAAAAACGTCAACAAGGACTATAATGTACCTGGATATACCCTAAATCGGTATATGTGTTTTAATGTGGTCTTAGGTTTACGTTTTTTGCGCATGATGCAAATTAATTACACTGAAAGTATCTTTAACGTTGTGTCGGAGAACCAGATTACCTGAATTCTGTTGTTGTAGCGTAGGATGGATTACCTGTAAAAATTGGTGTGTCCTGGTCCTTAAGAAGATTCTATTGCAATAGTTTGGATCTTAATATTTAACTCTTTTTCTAACTACCTTTTATTTCCTAGCGCCACTTTTTGCTTTAATGTTGAACGTTCGCATAGGTGAGGAAGGCTGTGGGTTCTGTCCCCAGGCCGGGACATACCGAAGTCCTTCAAAATGGTATGTCCCTGCTTAACGTTCAGCATTTTGGAAAATTGCATAATTTGACTTGGCAGAATGCTGGGGCGCGTGCATTCGGCCTGGTATTACAGTGAGATAGTAATATAAAGTCGGCATCAGATCCGCGCTGTTACAAGGACACAAGTACACCACCATACCCTGTCTACGGCACACATACACATATGCACCCTTACATAATACAAATGGGGGCACGTCCTTAAATGACCTAAGATGTTCATAGAACGTTAAACAATATAAAACCAAACCAAACCAAACTAATATTTTTGTATCTTGTGTGGCAGCGCCCTTCTTCTATATTGCAAGTGCTTTATTACTAAGAGCAACACAAATTTTAAATGCAGAGGCGGACTTTTTTCTTCGATGCAATAAAAAATAACAATAACCATAATTACCTGTGGCAAAACTAGTATCAGAGACATGTACTTCAAGGGAAATAACATAGAATAGCCATAATTGATAAACTAGTTTAGTCTGTTTTAAGTTTAATCTTACAATTACATGTCCAAGAATATACAAGGGATGCTTTTACCAAACAGAGTGATTGTAAACCAATTATTCCCGCTGTTGTAATTTTGTTATACTTTGAGTAACAATGGTTTGTATTAAAACAGTTACAGACGGCCCTCAGGAACTACAAATCAATAGCCGAGTACCCTGTAAGGATGCAGAAACTCATCGCACAGAGGGGCTGGCTAGAATCGTGAGTTGGACTTAAAAACTTATAATCTTTCCATTGTTGTAAGAGAAGATATTTCTCCAACTATCCCCATTTTTCTTTTTATTTCCTTATCAAACATATAACACTTAATTTGACGATACGAATCACAAGCTACTGATAGCGTGATTATTACATTTAAAAAACAAACATTATAAAGACTATAATTAAAAATATCTTATAAATAAGCGCTTTTTTAAGTATTTTTTTATAGAGGAAAAAATGCAAATATCTTATTTGAGTTATTGTGTTAGATACGATACACAAACATCTATGTTCATTGATCTTTACAGATACGACTCTAAGCGAGTGATAGTGCGTGAAGGCCATATAGCTCGTGGTTTTTACTTCATTCTGACTGGAGCAGGTAATAAATACAAACTTATAAAACCTCCATAGTCTGTAACAAAAACAAAATGGTTTTCACAATCGTTAATATTATCACTTTTTACAATAAAGATATTAACTTTTGTACAGCAAATGTTTTGTACAATTTCATCAGCGGTGCATTTCATTGCGTTTTAAATGTGTGAAAGTATGTGGTAAAATGTGGTAAGAAATGAATGATAGTGAACATTTAAAACAATCACATTTAAATCCAAATTAAAAGGATAATTAAAACAAAATTGTCCCAAACATAGAGCTAGCATAACACAGATCAAGCGTTTAGTTTCTTAAAGAGGCTATTTTCTTTTGTTTCCTCATGCACGCAACTCAATTGAATTGTTTAGACTACTTAGCTATGCAATTATATAACGACATTCTAGGAAGTAAGCATTAAAAAAATAATGGCAAATATAGCTTTCGCTTAAAGTGTGCGTGAAACTAAATTTAAAATCTTCAATGAATTTAACGTTTGTTACATTAAAGAATTCAGCTCCAACTCAACTTGACCTGGACAGTTAGAAGCCTTTTAGCCTATTTGTCGATTCAAAACTCGCCTTGTCAATATTCATTTGACCGTGTCTTGCTCGAACATGAATTAAATTCAATGATCTAAGAACTTGTTTAAATCATGCCACACAGTCAAAAACTAATAAATCAACAGTACGAACGGTATATACCACTTAATGGATCTCAAAGTTCCTTGAAAACCATTGCAGTACGTGCATCTATCTGTATAGGGTATCACTTTAGCAGAATAACGGGATTGGATATTGAGCTTCAAAATGCTTTCATGAACACAGGCCCTTGTCCAGAAAAAAGTGATCTCACATTCACTTATAAGATTTTGCCCTAGAATTAGTCTTTTTTTCTTCCTTTTTCGAATATCCCCCCTGTTTAAATTTCGGAATAAAACATCTGCTGTAATACTATTTGAATGTACTTTTATGTTTATATGTAAGGACAATACACACATATTGTCTCAGAAAATCTGTTTACCATTAGGTGACGTAATAGCAAGATGAGCCATGCAGATGAACTTGTTCTATTTATCATTTATACACGTAACGAAGGTCTTTCTATGAAATCAATTGATGCTCCGTTAAAGCCATAAAACCAATACCTAAGAAATTCCGCTTTTTGATTGCTCTGTTTTAAGCACTATCGATCTATCTCCACTTGAACAGAGGTTGTAATTACATGGATAGAAGTGTTGAGATGAAATAATTCATTCATTCTCAGAAAAAAACCTCTTTTTAGACCAAGTGCCTTTTGTATCTTCGTTGCATACTGATTTGGTACTGATAATCATACATAAAACAATTAATTATCAAACTTAAAGAGATTCTAGTCTTTTCACGTTCAATTTCCTATGACAATATTTTTTTTGGGACAAATGTTGTCATATTATCAGCTTATTTATATATTTTTTTTACATTGAAATAACAAGTGTATGACATTGGAATGCATAACAACCTTATTTTGACGTCATATAATAGAGTTGTCGTCGATGCTGAAACACACACGTTTCCTGAGAATGTGTATAAATGTGTTGAAGCATACGACATTTGATGTGTGGGGACTTTTCCTGAGAATGAGTGTCTTGGTTTGCGTTTACAGCTGTCGTCTCAATGTTGGATACCAAGACCAAACAGGCTAAGACAGTACTTTTTCTGAACCGCGGGGACAGTTTTGGAGAACAGGCGATTATGACACAGTCCCTTCGTCAAACTACAGTCATATCTCGTGAAAAGATCGAACTTCTCGTCATGGGCGATACGGTAACCAATATAAAACACGTTATAGGCGAAACAGTTAACAAAAATCCGTCTCGTCATAGGTGGTACGTAAATAAGATAAGTTTAGCCATGGGCGATATGCTTAATTATATCAGTATGATCATGGACGATACGGTATATAACACCAGTCTGGTCATGAGCGATATGATAAATAATTTCAGTATGGTCACAGAGGATACGGTAAATAATTTCAGTATGGTCACAGAGAATACGGTATATAAAATCAGTTTTGGTCATATACGAAAGGGTAAATGCTATCAGTCTGATCATAGACGATACGGTAAATAATATCAGTATGGTGATTGTCGATACGGTAAATAAAATCAGGCTGATCGTGGGTGATACGGTAAATAATATCGGTATGGTTATATACAATACGGTAAATAATATCAGAATGGTCATGGGTAATACGGTAATTAGTTCATCAGTCTGGCCATGAGCGTATCGGTGAATAATATCAGTCTGGTCATGGACGATACGGTAAACAATATCGGTATGGTCATAGACGATACGGTAAATAATATCGGTATGGTCATAGACGATTCGGTAAATAATATCGGTATGGTCATAGACGAAACGGTAAATAATATCGGTATGGTCATAGACGATACAGTAAATAATATCGGTATGGTCATAGACGAAACGGTAAATAATATCGGTACGGTCATAGACGAAACGGTTAATAATATCGGTACGGTCATAGACGAAACGGTAAATAATATCAGTACGGTCATAGACGATACGGTAAATAATATCAGTTTGGTCAAATACGAAAGGGTAAATAATATCAGTCTGGTCATAGACGAAACGGTAAATAATATCGGTATGGTCATAGACGAAACGGTAAAGATCCGATACGTCAAATAATTTCAGTATGGTCATAGACGATACAGTAAATTTCCGATATGGTAAATAAGATCAGTTTTGACATAGACGATAAGGCAAATAATTTCAGTATGGTGATATGGTTAAAAAAATATGTTCCGATATATATGTTCCGATATATATGGACGATATATATGTTCCGATATATATGGACGATATATATGTTCCGATATATATGGACGATATATATGTTCCGATATATATGGACGATATATATATTCCGATATATATGGACGATACGGTAAACAATAGCAGTATGGTCTCGGTTGATATCGTAAGGAATTACAGTATGATCATTGGCACTACGGTAAATAACATGTTATTAGAAAAGTGTCTCAATCAAACGCTAGTACTATGTACTGTACTGCTCCCGTGTTACTGATACATTGTGGTTGTGGTTGTGATTGTTTTATTGTAATCATTTACGACTATCAAAAAATAGGGCAACGTTCTCGTTAATTATATTGGGAATTTCGAATTTTAAATAACAGGTCACTGAAAACGTGATTGTTCGCTGTTAAATGTATGCTCTATGCTATTGTTGTGAGCATTGATAAGTATGACAGTAAACGTAATGTGTGTATATGTGTTATTGCAGTGAGCATTGATAAGTATGATAGTAAACGTAATGTGTGTATATGTGTTATTCTTTAGGATTTCGTGGACATCTTCATGTCTGGTGGACTGCGAGATCCAAACGATCCCTTCCTAAGGTACTTAACTAAATGAGAAAAAAAGCACGAAGAAATTAATAACAAATAAACAAATTAATAATAAATAAACACATTAATAAATAAACATGTTAGAGAGGCACAAAAAAGAGTTTTATTATGATGTATTTAAATAATAAAATAATAATGGATCTATATAATTAGAAGCATTCTTTGAAAGAGGTCAAATCGAATTCAATCCATTACACCTTATACAAATATTGTAATGTTTCAATACTCAAGAATCAATACCGACTGGTAGGCGCCATGGGCAAGCTAAATATGGCATTTTTTATTACATTTTTCCTTTCTTGTTTCAGGGATATACCATTCCTTGCAGACTGGCCGATCGAAAAGCTTGCACAGCATCCGAAGAAGGCAATACTTAGTTACTTCAAGTAGGAAGTCTTGATTACCTTTGTCTCTTTCAGTTACATGATCATCTTAATTTAACGAATTTTCCCTTTTTGTAAGAGCATGTTACTGTAAATACTCAATAATAGGAATCTTCACACACGTTTTTGGCATATTTTGTCCTGTTTATAGTTGTCAGGGAGAGAAGGCGTTTATTAATACATACAAGCACTTCAAAGTTTCTGAAAGCCATTCCTGTACAACGAGCAATGGCAACATCGTATTAAATTGTACATTTTTCTCAGAGCCACAGGGTGAATTGGCGCATTTTTTGTTTTCTCATTGGTTCTGTTAAAATGAAATATGAAAAAAAATTAGGCGGTTTTAAACCTTTCAATACGTTATCGTTTTTTCTTGGAATGTTGATGCTGGATTGCAATATAAAATCACAATGTAACCTGTACTAAACTTGAAAATTTAAAACCACAACATACCAATCCGTACTTAAATGTTTAACCAATTTAAACATTTGGTGTGCTACATTTAAATCCCAGCGTTACCAATATGTACTAAAACATACAGCATTGTACCATATATGAGCAGGAGGTCTATAAAGCATCACTTCCAATAATAATCGCCTTTTCATTGGTTAATCGGATGTCCCCTTTTTCTTTCAATGCAGAAACGATATTACATGTACCTTATCATGAGTTTACAGTAGATTATTATTATTAATAATAACTTATATGACGTTTTATTGTTATATCGCAGACGGGGGGCCATTCTAGTACCAGACAGTAAAGATAGTGAATGGTTGTTTGTTATCAAGTCGGTAAGTTTATTTAACATAATATAAGGGTGAAAAAAATCACTCAAAAAATATTGTTTAAAGTTTTGAAATGAATAATTTATAAAAAAAAAATTATAAAAAAAAATAAAAAAATATGGCACTTCCAGAGCTCTTCAATTTCGAGGAACATTAAAGCAAAACCTGCTTGCTATGACATAAATACGAATACCGTTAAAATTATTTATAAAAAACACCTATGTATTTTATCCCAAAAAATATCCAAAATTCAATCCATCTGTTTTGGTTGTCCACGTTTTCTGTTGTTGTCGATTTTCAATTTTGACTTTGTGACGATGTGATTTTAAAAACAAATTCATACTCTTGTTATGATAAAACAAATTCATACGCTTATTATAATAAAACAAATTCATGCTCTTATTATAATAAAACAAATTCATGCTCTTATTATAATAAACCAAATTCATACTCTTGTTATGATAAAACAAATTCATACGCTTATTATAATAAAACAAATTCATACTCTTATTATGATAAAACAAATTCATACGCTTATTATAATAAAACAAATTCATACGCTTATTATAATAAAAAAAATTCATACTCTTATTATGATAAAACAAATTCATTCTCTTGTTATGATAAAACAAATTCATACGCTTATTATAATAAAACAAAGTCATACTCTTGTTATGATAAAACAAATTCATGCTCTTATTATAATAAAACAAATTCATACTCTTATTATAATAAAACAAATACACGTATTGACATGTCACGCAATACTAATACAAATGTGTGTTTACATCGTTGACAATTATTCAGAATTGATCCGTCGGTGTTTTAGGGAAGTTGCAGCATATTCAAGAAGCTGGAACACGTGAATCCCAAAAAGTTTAGAAAACCTACTCGAGAGATTGGTCACAGAGAGAAATGTAAGTCATTTTTATAGAGAAAAAAAGCACTTGTAAGCTATCCCCTGTGGCAGCTCTGATGAGATACTGTATACCGTGAAATTTTCGCTGCAGTTTAATTTTCGCCTTTTCCGCCCTTTGTTATGGAGGCGAATTTATTATTACAGCGATTACACGTAAAACGGCATAATATATACAGTAATTAAATGAGGAGGGCGAAATTAATACTAGGCGAAAACTTATTTCATGGGCAAACGGCGAAAGTTTGACTGGGCGAAAAAAATCCTGGAATACAATAGTCCTCTTACTGGAACTTTGACAGAGTAATAATGAGCATGTAAAATGTATGTTTGTCTCACAGTGGTGACAGCAGCGAAGAATGACCATGTGATTTCACATGAAGATCAGATAACTCTGTTACGTGAAGACGAAATCAAACGACTGGAGCAGAAAAATCTCTACTTCCGCTTTTATGCTCTACCGGAAATAAACATTGCAACAAATGCAGCTTATCAAGAACTCAGGAAATTGCACTACGAGGTAACCTCCCTTTACATATATTTCGTCAGTGATAACTGATAGATAATAGTAAGTTTTGATTTGATATTACGGCAATGCAAGAGACTCTAAATAGGATTTTAGCTTTAGTCAGACAGTTTCGTACTCTGCAATGTTATAAATATTTGTTGTTAATTTTTGTTTTTCCATTTTAAAGCAGTTATTTGCTGCCGTCTTTTCGTTATTATCAACATTAAACTTAATTTACCCGTAGCGTTTCATTGATTACGAATAATGTAAACCATTCCATTTTCTCATCGTTAAATTTTTGTCATCATGTTTTTCAAATTGCAATCGACTTTAACTGAATTACCCTTTCGTTTGGTATTTTACTTATTGTAAACATATTTTCGTTTTTCTTTTGAATCATTCTCGTCTTAAAAAGGGGCGAATATTTTCCAGTTTTAGTTTCAAATACACAAGTCATTGGTATAATATATGTTATCTTTATTGTGCCAGCATATTAACCAAAACCACGTCACGCGAGCGTTAGGGAACTTAGGAGCGATGTCCTTACATGGTGGAGAGACAGAATCGATTATAACAGAAGCCGAGTCTAAATACAGAGAACAGGCTCAAGTGGAGGTGAAGAATTTCCGGAAAAAATCAATAGCCAACTTGCACAATCTAGTCGCTAAGGTATATATCTGACATGTGACTGATTTTCAAATTAATGTCGAAAAGTATTGTTGATTGAAATTATATTCGAAAATCATATGTGAGTGATCTTTTAGGGATATACTTTAAAAATAATGTAGTGATTTTGTAATACAGGCCTGTATGACATTTAACCAGTCAATTTAAAGCTTTATTGAATCTGAAAGTGGTAGCTTCTACTGTAATGCATTGTTTGAAATTAAAATTTTAAATTCATTACAGGGCCCCTTCCTGAAACCTAAACAGTTGCCTTCTGATGACGGTAAGTTCCACACTAACAGTTGTGTCATTTACTCCGAGTGAAAGACAAAACATATGCTAACATTATGTGGTTTAGACCAATATACATATATATATAATCTTCCATACGTTTCCATTTCATGTGAAATTTATGAAAGGAGTCTAAGAAGTTTTCAATTTAGCGAACCTTTGGCGAGCTAAAATGAAAAAATCGTGACGAGTTTCATAAATTTCAAATGAAATGAAAACGAGTGAAAGATCCTTTTCATCACATAAATAGATTTGTGGCATTTATTCGAACGTTAGTCGTAGTTGAAACTAAAATAATTCAAATACAAGCGTTGTGCAAAATATTAGCCTTTGCAACTGACATTCATACTTATGCAAATTACGGCATAAATAACCTTTCGCCCTCCGTAATGAGTGCACATTTATCATTACTGCTAACATTAATATTCATGCAACCTTGAAATGTAAAAAGCCGCCATTTTGACTCAAGTGCGTAATTCTGTGACGTCATGTACTTGTCCTAGCATTGACGTCACAATTGAAACAAGTGAAACTTACAACCAATCACAGGGCTGATATGATAGGTCATATCAAATGGGTTAATACGCAAAAAGATATGACATGGGTTTATTCACTGAATAACACACTACATTATTTGATAACACGTTATTGTGATATCATTGACTTACGTATATGCTACCTTCAGATAGGTGAAGGAAGTATATACATGTTGGTATCAGACGTTAGTCGTAGTTGAAACTAAAATAATTCAAATACAAGCGTTGTGCAAAATATTAGCCTTTGCAACTGACATTCATACTTATGCAAATTACGGCATAAATAACCTTTCGCCCTCCGTAATGAGTGCACATTTATCATTACTGCTAACATTAATAAACGACATTATATACAAAGTAATTAAATGTATAGGGCGAATATATTACTATACAAAATGGATTTTACCCGAAAAGGGCAAAAAATTATCTGGGCGAAAAAAATATCGGTATTCAGTACTCATTTTAAATTATTCTTATTTAAGGTTCATTTTTGAAAATGTAAATTTCACATTCAGTAATATATGAACAAGTTCCATGACCTCTGTCTCAAACATTTTGACACACAAGCAGCAGCATTTCCGTTTGTTAATTGAAATCTCGTACTACATAAGAATCACTTGAGAGTTTGAGGCAGTCTGTTTGCAATTCATTGTCTTCCTTTTCCCCAATTCAGATAACCCTATTCATAACAGCAAATAAAAAAAATATGTGGACAGGAAATTAGTAAGATAATTGTATATATAGCAAAATCATATAAAAAAAACTATATATATAGGATAACTAAATCATTAAAAATATATCGATTTCATTACGAGTGTTTATATAGTATATTTCGTATTTCGTCATTCATATGTTTAACACTATATTTGCTTTACAAAAAAGATCTTTTTCATGTTAAATCATACCAATCTAAGTTGTATTCCAGACTAATATATTCCGTCTTTGCGTATTGCAGAGTTATCTTCTCTTGTGAGCAGGTATTGATTGTTACGTCATTGGTTTGTGTGAGAAAATTACGTCGTTTTCTCAAAAATTGATGACGTTACTCTCACAAACAAATGACGTAACAATCATTACCTGCTCACAAGAGAAGATAACTCTGCAATACGCAAAAACGGAATATGTCTCTGATAGCAAAGCTCAGCTGACAAACGGTTTGTTTATCGTTCAGTATGTGCTTAGCCATTTTGCGTGTTCTAATGCTACATGTACATTGCAGTTAGGCCTTATGTATTTCTTATTCTGTGAAGTTGAATTAATTTGTCAGTTTATGATTTTAAACTGCAGAATAAATTCCATGAAAGTGGAAGATTATCCTGAAATGCTTAAACATGTACAAATGTGACTATCAAAACATATGCCGTTATACACGTTTCTCATAGGTTACCGACCTCTCTCCACGACAACATATGGGGACGATTTTGAGACAGAGTTAGATCGGAGGAGAAAGCAGGTGACCATTCGATCGGATACGCCTGAGGTATGTGTGCATTCAACCGCATTACAGTTAAACTGTGTTGTCACTAAACTATAAATAATATATTGGCCATAGCTGGGATACATGGGTATACATTTATGTGTTTTCGCACCCGTCTTTTTATCTCCTGAAACATGCACGAAAGACACACAGGTGATTGTACCTTTAAAAGTTGGTTATAGATACGGAATGTGTATGCACCATATAGTTGTTTCTTCCTTCTAGGACTAAACGGTTATGCTAGGGGCCAAAACGTTGTAAATCCAAATGGTCTAACTACTGATGAAACAGAAAGGAAATTGCGTGAAACCCCCTTTTTTTACGTATTTCAGCAAATAGAGAAGGATTGGTTAACTTCAAACTAAATATAGAGTAAAGCATGTATATTTTTGACCATGCCACTATTCCAAATAGATAGCTGTGGCAATCAAGGTAACGGCACACCTCAGGACTAAAAAATCCACCAGCAGAGTTTTGCCAACATGTATCTTAAATGATGACCTAGTACACACATGGGAATGCAATTTTGAAATTTGGTAATAGAAACAGTATGCTATACATGAATCACCCTGTACCATAGATCTGTTTCGTTCTTCTATGTCTAATCAGTGATGCTAGTTGGCAAAAGATTGGAAACCCGAACTGGTAAAAATTGTTGAAGAAACAGCAAAGGAGTGTGGAGGGTGAAAAAAAAAGCGGGATGACGAAATACTATTGCATTTGTTCGCAATTTGATACAGTCTAAACCTAATGTCTGGGAAAGACTTTAGTTTCTTTCCCTAGTGGGTGGATACGAAGCACGGCGCTTTATCATGTGTGAAACCGAAAGTGACAACACTTCTGCTTCTAGTTTTCGGCTAGTGATTAAGACATGTCATGATTTTTACTGCTAAATGCATTTCCATATATAGATGCTATCAATGCTATCAATGTACTAAAATATTGTTTTGCTTCCTACTATAGGTTTACGGTTTTGTATTACTGTGTGGCGTGCTATTTAATACTTATTTTGTTCTCATCAACATAACAAAAGCTTTGAATATAGTTTCTTTTAAACCAAACAAACAAATCAAAACAATGAAATTGTTCGCAACATTATGTCATTGTGTTCTTAAACAGGGCAAACTCATTTCGTATTTGAATCATAAACAGATGTTGGACGGTTTTAGAGCATAGTCAGACTACCAGTTTTCTATTACCAGAGTATGCCCCCTGCGCCACAAGAAGACCCACCGACGTTTATTGAAGTGCGAATCCTACAGAAAGGAATGTCCTTTGTGAGTATCTTAACAGTAAAGTTATATAACGATTATATATGATAACATGACCTATCTGCTGTCACACGAAATGCATGAACCCAAAGCATAGGAAAATTGGTATTTTATAATTTATTATATGTAAAAGAGTAAAGGATAAACTATGTAATCACTGTAACTATAACGTTGAAATTGTAGAGTGGATAGGGTAGCGTGGATCTTGCATTTCACGACTTTGAGATAACTCTTGAACAATAGAAAGAGAATCCTGTGTTTGTTAGCCATATCGTTACTGCTGTTATAGTAGATAAGAGACATTTTGTCTGATAATTATAACGTTACCTTTTTTTAAGAAGGTAAAGGGATTGTGTTTGATATTGTGTTTATATTAAACTCTAAAGGGAATATATGAGCATTTGTATGATACTCGTACATTTCTTTTAGATAGATGAAGCTTGTGTTTGATAACAATAACGCTATTGTTTTACGGGTGTTTTAGAAGCTTGTGTTTTATTTTGTTTACCTTAATATCCTAAAAGATAGGAGAGATTGTGTTTGATAATGACACCATTACTTTTGTAATGGGAATATAGAGTTTGTATTTGATAATTACCTTATTTCCATCCTACAGTGAATAGGGGAGCTTGATTTTGATAACTGCTTTATTCCGTCCTACAGGGAATAGAGGAGCTTATGTTTGATAACTGCCTTATTCCGTCCTACAGGGAATAGAGGAGCTTATGTTTGATAACTACTTTATTTCCGTCCTACAGGGAATATAGAAGCTTATGTTTGATAACTGCTTTATTCCGTCCTAGAGGGAATATAGAAGCTTGTGTTTGATAACTGCTTTATTTCCGTCCTACAGGGAATATAGAAGCATATGTTTGATAACTGCTTTATTCCGTCCTACAGGGAATATAGAAGCTTATGTTTGATAACTGTTTTATTCCGTCCTACAGGGAATAGAGGATCTTGTGTTTGATAACTACTTTATTCCGTCCTACAGGGAATATGGTAGCTTGTGTTTGATAACTGCTTTATTCCGTCCTACAGGGAATATAGAAGCTTATGTTTGATAACTGCTTTATTTCCGTCCTACAGGGAATATAGAAGCTTATGTTTGATAACTACTTTATTCCGTCCTACAGGGAATAGAGGAGCTTATGTTTGATAACTACTTTATTTCCGTCCTACAGGGAATAGAGGAGTTTATGTTTGATAACTGCTTTATTCCGTCCTACAGGGAATAAAGGAGCTTGTGTTTGATAACTGCTTTATTCCGTCCTAAAGGGAATATAGAAGCTTATGTTTGATAACTGCTTTATTCCGTCCTACAGGGAATAAAGGAGCTTATGTTTGATAACTGCTTTATTTCCGTCCTACAGGGAATAGAGGAGCTTGTGTTTGATAACTACTTTATTCCGTCCTACAGGGAATATAGAAGCTTATGTTTGATAACTACTTTATTTCCGTCCTACAGGGATTAGAGGAGCTTGTGTTTGATAACTGCTTTATTCCGTCCTACAGGGAATAGAGGAGCTTATGTTTGATAACTACTTTATTTCCGTCCTACAGGGATTAGAGGAGCTTGTGTTTGATAACTACTTTATTCCGTCCTACAGGGAATAGAGGAGCTTATGTTTGATAACTACTTTATTTCCGTCCTACAGGGATTAGAGGAGCTTGTGTTTGATAACTACTTTATTCCGTCCTACAGGGAATAGAGGAGCTTATGTTTGATAACTACTTTATTTCCGTCCTACAGGGATTAGAGGAGCTTGTGTTTGATAACTGCTTTATTCCGTCCTACAGGGAATAGAGGAGCTTATGTTTGATAACTACTTTATTTCCGTCCTACAGGGATTAGAGGAGCTTGTGTTTGATAACTACGTTATTCCGTCCTACAGGGAATAGAGGAGCTTATGTTTGACAACTACATTATATCCGTCCTACAGGGAATAGAGGAGCTTATGTTTGATAACTACTTTATTTCCGTCCTACAGGGAATAGAGGAGCTTATGTTTGATAACTGCTTTATTCCGTCCTACAGGGAATAGAGGAGCTTGTGTTTATTAACTGCTTTATTCCGTCCTACAGGGAATAGAGGAGCTTGTGTTTGATAACCAGCCGGGATTCAGCCTCGTCAGTAACGGTGTGGAGGTCATGATGATGAATAAGAAGTTCTTCCAAGAATATCTTAATAATGACATGCTGGTCAGATTGAAAGAAAAGGTAAAGAAAAGATATATAAACTGAAACTTTCAATATCTCGCTTGACTCTGTGATTTTACAAAAAATCAGCCTTTTTACATTTTCATCAGTCAATCAGAAACATTCTACAGTACTATGCACATGCATTTGATATAGAAGGTGGCGCTATCCAAGTAAAAATCATTTTATCTCAAGAATGTCTTAATTTCACAAAATATCATTAAGCACATAATTGAAACACTATCATTTAAAAGACAGTATTAATATGTTATTCATATTGGTACTTTACATTGTTGTTTGTTATTATATAGCATACTATTGATTACGTTAATAACACCTAAATGCTTCGGTATGGGGAATTAATTTATAGGTGATGATTCATGCAATGCAGTGCTTTTTGGTTGTATAACCATACCACAGAGAAAGAAGTACTGATATGTTTATGGTTTGGCTTATAAATTAAACATATTAAGGCGATCGGTTTCCCAATTTCATCTTTCCATATTAATTTTGGCTGATAACAACGACGTGCAAGCTAAAATTATAGCGTACAGTAAAACCAACGATTTTACAAAATGCCTTGTCCCTAATAAGTGCGTACAAGTCGTCTATGCTCGGTCAAAATCGCACAAGTCTCGTCTACTATCTTTGGGATAGCGCCGATTATTCATATAAATAATTGACCGGTTTAGAAATGTCAGTCAATTATATTATCTTTTTAAATGGCAAGGTTTTATGAAACTCTAATTGTCAATACAAAAGTGTTTTTCAAGCTTTCCATATATTTTCATTTTGTACATTGTGTAATTGTATGTGCCGGTTTAGAGACAAGACTGTGTACCATATACATGTATTTAAAAATTATTGTTGTTAATCGCACATCACCAGAAGATGCTACGTAAGTACGTTCAAGCAAAAAAGGATACCAAAGTTTCGCATTAATTACACATTTATTTCGTAAACATTTTGTCTTTCCAAGTCGGAGGCCGACACGCAACTAACAAGGGGTTTCAAACGCTTTCTCACGCTCTTGGCTAATGGCCGAGCGTAACTTGTTATAATTCTTTTAACAAAGATATGCAATCTAATTTGACGTAGTCCTTTATGCACGAGGGAACCCATTAAAGTATAGAACATTTTTGTTGTTGTCAAATTTTCACTTACAAAGTAAATGGGTCCTTATAATGTTGCTTAAAAACTTTAATAAACTCAAAACACACCATTTAAAATATCAATTTACCTTGTAGACATTTCCGTATCCGTCGGATGACGACCTGCAAAAGAGCCTGGAGTTGCAGTTGTCGTGGAACTATCACAAAGAGGCGGAAGTGAACAACACCCTAAGAAGTATTAAACTCAAACGTTCCACACCAGGTGATGCCAGGGCTATTTTAGAAATTCCGGCAGAAATAAAGTGATGATGCAATAACAGTCCAGGAATAATTCACCTTTGATAAATGTCAACATTCGGTAGACTTTGAGAGGCTTGAAATTCGGGTATATCATCATCATTGCATAAGCATTGTCACGAAATTCTCAACTGGCAGGTTCTTATTTAGAAATATTTTAATGAACAAATATTTGTTAATGGAAACACAAAAAACAACTGTTGATTTGTTATCAAACATCATGAATTTAGTGCTAGAGGAAATTATACAAGAGCGTATTAATTGACCAAGTATACAATAATGAAGACAACTTGAGAGCTTCACAGAAGGCCATTTATTCGCTGGAAGATCCAACTTTTGTAGGGAAAACACTAGAATGTCAAAGGTGGCCACTAAGGAAAATACGAGATCTTTCAATGTGACTGCGTATTCGACTGAAGCCTGCTGAAAAGAATCGTATAATGGTGGAATATAATATTTGAATTGAAGAACAGCTGTCCTAATTTTAATGGTCATGTTTTAACGTAATACTATGGATAAATATGTTAAATGGGACTACAAGGAATGGTCTGGGATCAAATTATAATTACAATAGTTATGTTAATGTTCACAATACATGTATTTGCAATGGATCTACGAAGATCATTATTTATTTACTCGGCATAATTCAAGGAACATAGACATGAGTATAACGTATTTATCACATTATTATCTGCCTTTCTGTCTATATTCTCCTTAGCGTATCTGTGTGTGTGTGTTTCATTGTCTGTGTCTGTGTCTCTGTATCTCTGCCTCTCTCTCAGTCTGTATTCTTCTCTCTCTTTTTCTTTGTGTCTTCTCTCTGTGTGTCTATCTCGGTCTATGTATCTCTCTCTCACTTTGTCTCTCTGCTTTTGTCTGTATGTATGTCTCTTTAAAACGTTGTAATTTCAAATTGTTTGTTATTAAACCATTTTATATAAACTGTTAGAATAAAAACTGGATTAAATATGAACAATTTATTGGTTATTTAAGATGCCGATGTTCGCCCTCTTAACAACACCGATACGTTCTAGAAGGACGAAATATCTATGTAGTGCAGTGTTATTTATTTGGGATCAAAGCGGTTATTTCTAATCACTTCAGACTGATGCAATACATTCATCATATACTGTGTTTTAAGTTGATGGCAAGCATACATTTCATAACACTGAATTCAGAATAAAATATATCCTGTTAGGGTAAACGTTAATTCTGAAATATATTCTGTATTGATATCAAAATATTATGATTCCTCAATATTATCGCAATGCTAGACATGGTGGAGTGTTTTTGTTTTGTTTTTGTTTGTTAAAATTCCATTCTTAACTTTGGTAAACTCAATCGCACTAGGCTGGCTATACCTCGGTTATCGAAGTCATGATTGAGAAAGATGTATCTCTTCAAGCAAGGATGATAAATAATAAACAAAATGATCCGTGGTACAACGAAAAGCTTAGCAAGAAACCCAAAAGCGCAATAGCGCACGGACGATAGATCATTCGCCATCAGAATAATATCGGTTAGGTCATCAAGACAGCATTTATTGCTAGATCGCATTTAACGAAGAAGAGTTCCAATTGAGAACAAGTTGCAGAAAGTACTAATGCACATAAACAGCTATTTAGACTCCAAAAAATGATTTGGAAAAGTGAACACCTCCAACCAAGTTGTTAATAGGAATAAATGAATTAATAGATTTGTCCAAAATAAGCTATTTCGTCTTGAAGTAATTTAGCACCATCAGTCAAAATATTAGTGTTGTGAAATATATCGCGGTCATTTAAACTTTTCTTTGTTCATATATTGGCCTAGTTTCATTGTTTTTGAGTTCGATGTACGGTTTTATTTATACATTGGCATTCCTTTTTGTAATATATCATGACTGCTGTCATGAATACCATGATGAACCATTGACGTACCTTAAACAAGCAACTCAGAAAATGTCCTTAAAAACTCGCAATTGAAGTCTTTTCATCTGGACCAGCTTTTCACATGTCGGTCTAATAAAGCTATGGCTTGCAGCACTGCTTTCTTTGATTACCTCAATCATGTTAAAGTCATTGGCCAAGGCTAAGTTCCGATTATGTTTCAAGAAAGGTAATGTCTGACTATTGTTGAAGAAGCCTGGGATTTACAAGGAATTGGTAAAAAAACAAAATACTGTCCAGTATCAAATCTACCGGTTCAATCTTTTTTTTTTTTAGATAAGAGTGTGTCCGAGCGCCTACAATTTCATCTCATTGTAAAGAATTATCATGCCAATCTGCAATCGGACTAGCCAACAAAATACTCTACTAAGATGGCCCTCTTACATGTACGTGTCCATTACGATATAGCTGTCATTTTGACAACTCGTGCAGAGTTGTGTTTGACGACATGTTGGACATTTCCGCTTCATTACAGGAACCTGACTATGACGTAATTGTTAGCGTCTACAATAAGATGTTACTCTTATAGGATTACTGCCGATACACTCGGATTGTTCCAGTCATAGTTTTGAGACTGACACTGTAGCTAGTATGTCGAGGCGTTGGAACAAGGACAAACAAGTTATAACTTCATTCAAAACTGATCGGGTAAACTCGTAATTGTCGACGACATATTCTGGTCTGAAAACATAAATGATCGCCCTATTATGACCTTTAAAATCAGTATTTCGGAAAAAGGTTGCAGCCATTTTTGTGAAGTAGTTTGCCGACTGCAAACAGTACACTACAAACCTTAACCCTCACAATCCAAGAAGAGTTTGAAAACATTACCTGTTTACAGATGCATTTTAACTCTTATTTTAAGTGACGACGTCCTGTAAACACAACGTCACCCTATATTAACTTTGAGAACAACGACTTACGTTCTAATTCTGTAACGCAGATCATGTTACTATACTTGATAATGCTCTGTAAGTCTAGAACGATCCATATAATGCACTGTAAAGCGCCTTGGACAGATTTAATGTATTTGAGTATTTCCGCATGGCCCTGATGTGGAAATAACAGAATTTCAATTTCAAGCTAAAGTTAAAGTAATAAATTCATTTAAATGTTGGAATTTCAATTTATATAAGCGAATGATCAGTTCATAATATAAAAACTTAGATACTTTAATAGTTACTTTGGTGGAACAACTAACGATATTATGTTTCAAACATTGACTGTACGAAAGTCTCTCGCCTTTAATACTGCAACAAATCCAACACTTCCTGCGCTGAAATGATACTATAGTAGACATATTTGCGTGGGACTTTAACGGTACTTGTGCCATTCATTGAGAAAGATTTTATTAAATCTCCAACTAGTTGTTATTTAGCTCTGTATAAGAGATGTATTTCTTTTTCAGCAGGAGCACCTACACATTTGGTTGACAGTGACTTATCCGTGTACATTTTTAATTAAAAACATCAATTTGACTCCCGTACTTCAAATACATACATACACACGCCAGCCATATTATACTGTGGTTACAATTGAAACAGGTTTTACCACATAAGTACATTCACACTTTTAAGATATAGTTATGTTGTTTAATGAAAACGGTTTTCTTTACAAAAATGTTAAAATTCGAAGAAACTAGAACCTTGTATCAGTTTTGAGTAGATACGCTAGGATATCTTTGAAGAGTAATTCACTTTACACGTTTTAAAGAACTATTGTAATGGATGTGAATACCATTATGATTTTATATTACGGAGTAAAACAATTAAAGAACATGCACACATACAGCAGTGAATTATAGAAATTTTGATTAAAAATATTTTTTGCTGGCTTGCAGAATATTGGTGACAATTTATGCAACCTAGAACTGATGTTTGTCAGGTTACGGCTATTCGGTGTTAGCTCGTATTTAATTCAATACGATTCAATCAGTAAAACGTATGTTACATGACGGCCTGCCGAGACCTTGCAAATTAGATACACAGCTGTCAATAACCCTTTGCCGTAACAGCTAGCGATTTTCTTCCACAGCCCACTTCTCAAAATGACATTCCGATACGGCGAAATGAGCGACTTGTAAATCCGAGAATTAATTTTGCTTCCTTTGAACGATTTATTGGTATTTCGTCCGATTTGTTCCGACTTTATTAGGAGTTTGGCGATAACAACTGATGGCGGTTACTGACAGCAATTTTATGAAATATAATCACAACTGTTTATCAATACAATTCTGTTTCATAACGTTGCGAATTAAACTGTTGGGACCTTTCCTCTCTGATCTAATAACCCAAATCTTTCTGTACAAATTTCTGACGGACATTTGTCGCATTGCCGTTGGGAGGAATAGGATTCAGTGCTCTCTGCCACAGACCTATTTTGGACAAGCACTTATTTATGTAAATATCACCTAGTCAGGACTTGGAACGGGGAAGCTCAAGGATAATTTCTGGCAGTTTTATGCTTTTTTATCCAGTGCGAACTATCTTGGAATGTTACAGTAATTTGATTTGATAATTTGTTGTAAAATTGCGGCACTTGGACACAATTATATTTGTGATTGAAGAAATCCTAGCTGTAAAGAACATCACAGCAGTGATGGGAATCGTCGCAACACGAACAAGTTTTAAGTACTTTTCTACTATTTACTGATTTGTCTGTCGGATCTGACGCAGACAGGATCACACAGTATACCAAATTATACGGGTTTTTTTGGGAAAATAATAATACAATTTTTAAAAGTCGGAAGCTGCAGCATGGAAAACGAGAAACATGTTTTACAACAACAAGAACAAGAATCCCCGCAACAGAATCTGAACAATGAACGGACAAGTCTTACGGCCAATTCCAGTGGTCAGTCACCCCTAACCCCCAACACTCGTCCAGTGGAGCTGAAGTTGGATCCAAGTGAGGAACGTGAAACGTGGAATGACAAAATAGAGTTTATTTTGTCATGTGTTGGACAGTGTGTCGGGCTCGGAAACGTCTGGAGATTTCCCTATCTCTGTTACAAAAATGGAGGAGGTAAGTATTCCTGCACAATATTGCAAACAAAATGTCTTTGTAGGTTAACTTCAGAGCACGTATGTCTCTCTCATTTCTATCAATGACAATATAACATCACTGTAAACGTTAAAAGATAAACAGAAACTAGTTGGTTGCTGAAATATACAAAAAAAAAAAATCAGTATAACAGAATACAGGGATGGTATATTGATTGGATACGTAATTTGATTTACGCTCTTGCTGATGAGTAATAGTTTGTTTTTATCATCCAGGTGAATAATTTGTTCTGATTTTTTCCCCCATTCAATTTACACCTTGCGTTAACGTTTTTAACATATCCATATCCTTTGATTTTACTTGGTCACCAATTTAGTTTTAAAGAAATTTCACAATTATCGTGAAAAGAAGATTCCGTAATCAGTGTGCAAATGCTACAATTAAATCTAAGTTTAGCATAAACAAGTTATTACAACGGTTGGTCTGATTTTGAAATATATAGCCCCGAAATAATAAATTCGGTATAGCAAGCATATCATAATTTAGTGTCTGGTATTTATGCGACATGAAATGAAACTGCGCATTATTGAACGGGTTTAGGATTGATTTCAATGCTTGAACTCCATTCACAAGCAGATTTCGTTATAAGTAATTGTGATTATAAATATATAAATACTTGATAACTTTTCCATAAATTTACTCCATAAACGTCTTCGACCGATCTTTATTCAGTCGTTTTATTTCATAAAACATAAAACATTTAATATTAGGTAGGAATTGTTTCCCGTGTTTAACCCTTTTGGACATGTTATACCGATCTCCATAGTTCAACACGTATTAATGACCGTCCTTGTACTAAACATGA